AAACACTCAAAGTACACAACATGCTGAGCCCCTAAAACACTCCTAATACACATACACAGTCGTTCTGGCTTTCTGACACAGCACTATTAAGAGTCACGCTGTGCCCTATTGCCCCACATAGACCTGCTGAGCTGTTTTATCATTCGAACCTAGAAAAAGGCAGCCTTTGCCTGTGGGCACTATCAAGAATATGGGAACACCCCATGAGACATTTTGGATTGGACATGTAAAAACCTCTACTTTACCATTTTTTCATGTTTCATCTTCCATAGTGTTTTAAAATGAAATGTTGGGGATTGAGAAAAATATCTTGAATCTTTTTGTCTATATCCTTTTATCTAGATTCAATACACTTGAAAATATGTTTAGGTTTATCATCGTCTTATTTATATGTCAACAAAGTTTTCGCAAGTGTTGGAAAGTGCCTTTACTTTTCTTTACATTCGTTTTTAAATGTTCTGCTACCTTTTATACTCCACTACAGGTCAGAGAGACATATTGTCCTTTTTGCTCCACTACATTTATCTGACAGCTATTTTGGTTTATTGTAAAAATGCAAAACATATAATCCGTTTATACAATATGATGCATTGTGACAGATTGAACTATTAAAATGAGCTCCAACTCGACACCGTTAATAATGATCCAGTAATATAACATTCCATTTAGCTGTATAACAAATACTTTTGATACTTTGATGTTCATTTTGTTGCTAATACTTCTGTACTTTCAGTAACATTTTGAATTCAGGACCTTCAATTGTAATAGAGTATCGCAATCAAGTCAATCAGTCCATTAGTTTATCACCAGAAAATGTGCCCTTTTTATAATTAATCAGTCATTGAAGTCATCTATCAAGATTAACATAAAACAAGATTCTTTTGTCTTCTTTCATATCACGACTTAACATTTGGTCTTGGGACTGTCGGATGAAACAAGCACATTCACCCGTGGCTCTGAGAAGTGGTGAAAAATCTTATTGACAAAATGATCAATAATCTATAATGTGAGCCCTTGTAAATATATAGTATTCATACTTAATAGGGTATATATACTGTACAAATCTGTAAACCATGTGAAAATAGGGGTTTAGTAAAAAAAACCTCACTGCTGTATTGACTCGGTCATTCTGAAGGAAATGTATTTTGTGAGGCCTGGCTGACTAAGGCTGTGGGAAACACACACACACAAACAACACACACACTTGAGGGATTTCTCATATCTTTGGCTGAGCTCTGTGCAACCATTGGTCAGCCCCCTTCCTGTGAGTGTGTTTCCTGGAGCACGTTGTTTCATGGCAGAACTCCCTCTGTAAGGAAGGAGAATCTGTTGAACACACAAACACACACACAAACACACACACAGCAGGCTCTCGTCACTTGTTTTTGTTTCCTTGCTCCCCAGCTGGTCCGACCCTTCCCTCCCGTCTTTCTCTCTTTCTCTTGCTCTCCTCGGTCCATTCCAGTTCTCTCCTCCCTGCGGTTGTGAGTGTACTTTTCGGGTGAGCGATGTGTTGTTCGGTGGGTTTCGCCAGGTCTCTGGGTCTGGCCCTGCTGCCTCTGGCCCTCTGCTGCATCCTGGCCAACCTGCTGCTGCTGTTTCCCATGGGAGAAATCACCTACATCCAGCAGGACCGTCTGGCCAACTACGTCTGGTACTTTGGTGGACTTGGAGGAGGGGGAGCACTGGTGAGTTAAAGACATGCATTTATATTAGATTATGAAACCTTCTGGTTAGTCTCTAGTTATATTTCTAGGATTACACTGAAGGTTTTGGTAAAGTCAGAATATTCTGATCCCAACTTTGTCATCTTTGGTCAGATCATCAGATTACTGGAGGTCACCTTTAGTGGTCTGGTGAACATACACCAAACTTCAGGTGCTGGTCATGCGGCAGTGACATATTTTGAAGAAAGGACAACCACACATTACTGCCTCAATATTTTTATATATATATATGTATTTTTAGTCATTGGATAACTTTCCTTAAACGTAATGCAGTCCAAAGTTACTATTATAATTTTGCTTTATATTTAGTTAAAAATGTGTTATACCAGCTTACAAAAATGCAGTTGACTGTTGAATTGTTTACTTTTTTATGCCAATCAATAATCAAGAAAATCTAAAAATGTTTTCTCTTCTTTCTGTGTAACCAGACTTTAGACCAATCACTGATTTATCATAAAAGATTTGAAACATGATACCTGTTCTCCACGGTGTGCATGTCCTTTCATTCTCTGCCGCTCAAATTGGATTGGATTGCAGTTGCAGCCGTGTGAGCTTGGCGTACAGACCGGGCCTTTGACAGAGATGTATATATTATTTCTACTAGAATCTGTATTTTTGGCAAGTGTATGTCATTCATGTTTACATGGTATGACTGTTAAAAATTGAGCTGTTACTGAAAGCTGTGAAACTTCAGAGGTCACGTGACCGTTTAATCCGACTATGACTTCTGTATGTATTTTCTGAACAGGTCATGAAGTATATAATGTGTCAGATTGGATTATTTTGCCTGGCAAAGGTGGCTAAACAATATGGATGTAGGTTTAACTGAGGTCACTGGTAGCACGTGGTGTAACTCATCCCTCTTAGTTTCATCTTGAGGAAAAGAAAAAAGAAAACATGACATTTTTTGACCAAAATACGATTAAATGTCAATGTTTCCCCTTCAGTACCATTCAGTCTGAGTGTGTTTGCAGTTGCTCATTGAGAACAATGGAGTTTTGTTTGAATTCACAGTTAATCTGTCTGCTACATGCTGCTGATCTAATGGGTTCATGCTCCAACTGAGCTGAAAGGAGCTGTTCTTTTAGTTTGGTTTTAAGGAGGAACAGAGGAGAGATTGTAATTACTCAAACAAGATTAACCTTGTTGACCAACAGAGCCCTTGTGTTGGGTACACAAAGCTTTACTCTTTAAAACATTTCGATTTTTGGTTATTTTTCAGTAAAAAAAACAAATGTAACTGTAACAGACCGTATTCTACTGAACAACAGACTCTGCAAAGACAAGGGTACACATTTCCACTTTAACAGCAGGTGTTAAAGTGTGTTTCTGCCATTTAAAAGAAGGCATTTCTCAGCTGCTCATATCTGACTATCTAATGCAGAAGGATTGTGATTTAACTGCACATGTATGCAGACGTTTAGTGCAAAGCACTTTTGGTACTCCAGTGCCTCATTATTAGAAAACTTTCTTTATAGAATTTATTGCAGAATTACTGTGCTGAATCAGCACATTGGAGACCAATCGTTTAAAAACCGGAAGACGATGCAGAACAATGATCAATGAATGAAGTCCTGTCAAGTTATGATAGCGAAAGGTCTTCACCTTAAAATGTTCTTTTAACATGCTGTTAATGCCACTTTATGCAAGCGTTTCACAATAAAAGTGAGGGGATTAGGCCCCCTGAACTGCTGATTGGTTCTTAATGTGAATTATGAAGGAAGTTTGTATTAACATCAAACAGCAGAAAATGGGAATGGACCACAAAACAGGGTTCTGACTAAAACAAGAGGATACATTTAAATCAGGGGAATTTAGAAATATAGGCCCTCTAAGAAGCCTTACTCACTATTTTAGGAATAGCTAGTATCGTTGCATCTGTTTTTAGAAGATACAACTTTATCTTCATTTATGTTTTCTTTGTTAGTCTGAGATTACTTTTGCCATACTGTCCTTTGTTTTTTTCCCTTTTGAGCTTTTCCTTTTTTTTTTGTAGAAATGACAGAAAGCTAAAGAGTCAAAGAGCAGATTGATCTCCTCTGAGAGAAATCTATCTTTAGCTCCCTCCTTTCCTCTCCCTCCCTCTTCTTCACTCATTTTCCTTCTCTCTCTCTCCCTCTTCCTTTCTCGCTGTGCACTTCCCTCTGTATTGTTAGTATCACTCTGCCTCAAACCAAGGACAGTGCTTTAGGGGGACATTCAGGATGTGTATGTAACGATGCCTATGAACTTTGTGTGTGTGTGTGTCTGTGTGTGTAGAACCTTGGGAACTTCCCTCCCTCTGTTAGGATGTGATATAAAGTCCTTGACCCCTGGGAGAGAGACAGCACAGGAAAGAGGAGGAGAGGAAAAAGGGAGGGAGGGATAGTAAACGTGTACCCTGAAACAAACAGATGTAGGATTGAAATTATGTCTTTCTCTATCCTGTAGTTACCTTGCAGTAAGGCCCCCCACACAACTATATGAGTGCCCAATGCTCTTGTTTGAACAATTGTATTGTCACAACAATCAAATGCATTGTCATTAAATTTGTATAGATGTGTATGGTCCTAAGAGGATAAATCCTAATGATTTTTATGTAGCACCAACTACAGGTCCCTTAATGCAACACTTTAGACAAAATGACTCCCTGGTCACTGTATAGTGCACCATATTTTCCCTCTGCCATGTTATTTGACATGCTACATAATGCTTTTAAAGCACGGAAAGGCCTAAGAAGACCGATGTTGACAAAGTGCCTCTTAGACCGTTGAGAGTTGAGCCAGATCTGACAAGTTGAACCCGACTGAGTCTTAAATGGCCTGCAAACATTCGATTAGTGTGAAATGAGCAACACAGCCTCATGTTGCACATTTGTTTACGTCCTAGGCGATTTGTCTTTTAGGTGTCCAAACAATACTGCTTTTAACAAGGATGGTGATTGACAGGTGGGACAAAACATGTGTCGAGGCTAAGGTGCTGTATGTATACGTATGTACTATGTGCTGTATAAAGAAATGTACATGACTTGTAGGGCTGTAATAATACAGTATGGGTGGTGATAATGATATGCTTCCAGTAACTGCTAGCTAAGAGAAGCAGGATTAATAATCTTTTCTTGTAGTAGAATATGATTATTAGCCTAGCTTATGTAGCTTTAGCATCTATGTATATATATATATATATATATATATAGGCCTACTACTATAACAATTTAATGTGTATCACTTCCTGCCATTTCAAATGACAAAAAAAATGCTGCTGTTCAGAAATTTAACTCTGTGTCTCCAGATGCTGGTTCCAGCGGTGGTCTTCATCACTCTGGGGAAATGTAACTGTTGTTGGAATGAGAGCTTAATGGTAAGGGACTTATTAAACCATCACACTCAAAATCTACAGGAGGTACTCTATGCTAAGCTAAGTCTGCATCAAAAACTCCAGGAGTAATGACACTGATGCTAAGCTGATGCTTAGCATCATCCTCATTTCCCATGCTGCTCTCTAAACATATAAAAATACAGTTTTGTTTGCTGCACACAGATCAAAATCAAAATATTTGGTTGTTTGGTCTTTCACGAATTGTAACTCTTAGTGTCCCCATTTTACTGCCATTTTGTTGTTTCTTTCTCACCAAGAATAATACTGAACAGTTGTCATTAAGCCAGACAACACTGTGTCCTTATGAGGTGGAATGTTAATGCTAATCAGCTGTAATAATTCAACAAGGGTCCCATTGTTACTCAAATCTCAACAAAGTAAGCTTGGCTCACACCATTCAAGCCACATGCACAGCTGCTGTTATGTGTGTGTGTGTTCATGTGTGTGTGTGTGTGTTTATAGCAGTCTCTGTATCTGATCTATGAAACACATAAATGAAACCGTTAACATTTATACAGACAGGCATTCACACATACAGTCACAAAGGCATACCAACACGTTCATGTTCTTCTATATAATCACTTTGTGTGTCTCCAGATGTGCGGGTCAGTGTTGGCAGCTGTGGTCGGCCTGGTGGGGTCTGGTTACTGTTTCGTCGTGTCAGGATTTGCCTTGATGCAGGGTCCCCAGTGCTTCACTTCTTATGGATGGACGTACCCATTTGCAGACAAGGGGGGCAGGTAGAGAGATGCTGTGTGTGTGTGTGTGTGTGTGTGTGTGTGTGTGTGTGTGTGTGTGTATGTTGGGGCATGGGGGTTTATAAACAGAGAAGAATGTGTGCATACATGTCCTCAACTTTATATTTCACTGGTAAACAGAACGAACTGACTACAAACAACTGTAAAAATGGACAGTTTTACCCGTTGCCTGTGGTAAATGTGACTAGGTGCCCTTATCTGGAAAACAATGGACTTTGCCTCCACGTTTTTTGTTAATTTTGTAAATCAGGACACCTTGTCATGTGTCGACTTATGTCATCAATGTGTACTTAGAGAGACAACTCTCCCCCTTAGTACTTCAGTATTTTAAGAATGTGGTGCAGCACTCACAATGAGTTGTAACCAATGCAAAAAATATATATAATATAAATGTAACTGCTGGTCTGTGATTGATCTGTCTCTCTCTGTGTCCCAGGTATCTCTTACAACCAGAGACGTGGTCACGGTGTCTTCAGCCGGTTCACATCGTGGAGTGGAACGTGACTCTGCTGTGTGTGTTACTGGGCCTGGCTGTGCTTGAGTTCATCATCTGTCTGTTACAGCTGGGCAACGGTTTAGTCAACGCCGTCTGCCGGCCCTGTTGCTACAAGCAGGAGTATAGTCTGAACGCGTAAATCAACACACACATGTATGTAGACTCACCTGCTGAGACACAAGTGCCTGTGCACACATAAACAAATCACACACTCAATATGTATGCACAGATACAGGACATTAATGGACACACGTGGAAGCGGAAGTCTGCACACACAGCACCATGTGTGCGAGTACAATTCAACCTTACTTAGACACACCTACAGTATCATGGACTTCTGACAGCCACGTCAGTGTAATCACTATATTTTCAAGCTTTTGATTTGCCCTTTTAGAGTGGCAAAAATCACCAGGCAGTCATTGATGATAGTTATGATTATGATGATGAGCTTTTCTGGTGCAGTAGTCTCAACATTTCAAAGGCAACAGGTTATTAGTACATAATAATGTAGATATGTGTGTGAGCGTGTGTCCTGAATACTCCATAGAAAATATAGTAAACTTAAATAATAAAGACAAAGTAGATAATGATAACGACAACAATATTAATAATATTATTTAGTATATTGTCCTATCCTATATGGGATAGGTTTCACTGAAGTAAGTAGCAGTGTGTGAAACTTTCATTTGCTTTTTTAAAGAAGAAGATAAAAAACAACTGTTCTCAAACTTGAGTGACAACTGTTCACTTCATGACATTTACATTCTTAATTTCAAGGTTGCATCACTTTCTTTGTTATCATTATTGGCGGTATACTTTCTGTACTTTCAGAAACCCAACAACTACATTACCGCTTTTATTGCTAAAACAGATGATATTACACTTCAAACCAATGATATTAAACTAGTGTACTTAAGATGGCAGCCACATATTGTTTGATAATGGTGGAAAAGACAGAAGCTTGGTGTTGCAAGGAGAGATGCACATTTCCATTATTTGGTTGTTTATCCGCATCTTGGCTGTCATGATTATCTGGTTGTTGTTGTTCCAACATTTATACACTGTTGGATCACTTAAGGATTACGAGCAGATTTTTGTGTTTGTACATTTGTTTTAATTTTCAGAGCATTTTGTTGGAAATTGTTTTCTTTACGTCTTTCAGAAGCTAGATCAGTTTAAACAGACATTTTATATATATTTTAGTGACATATTTTTATAATGTTCGTTTGTTTGTGCCGCCTTTAATAAAAAATGTCTATTTCCATTGTCAGTATCCAGTGAGTCATTAAGTTGAGGCTGATCTTTGTCCACAAAAACAGGTTCTCTTTCCATAATTAGCACATACTCCTGTGTGTGTATATGTGTACACATGCTTGACTCCCCTGCTGCACCTCCACCAAACACTGTAAACAAAATGTTTCCATTAACTTATCTGGAGAAGGGGCCTTTGACACAAATGCAATATTAGCTTACTTGGTCATCATGTAGGTTTGTGTGTGTGTGTGTGTGTGTGTTTAAAGTGTCCTGGAGTTTCCAGAGTTGCCCGGTATTGATTGATGTCAGGACACAGTCTGAGTAAATGTGGTCTCAGACCCTGCAGTGAAGTCCATCACAAGTCATTTTTCAATTCTTTATCACAAGGTGGCTGTGGGGAGAGTATTTTTTTTAATGTCCATGTTACATTGGGAAAAACCGACAGCGTTTTAAACCTTAAAACCAGTTAGCAGACCATTAGCAGAATTCATTGACCTTATTTGTCTTTAGGGGTAGATGAAAGTACTTAAAATGAGTTTTAATTAAATTACTTAGCTTGGTTAGACTGATTTTGTGGATTAGGACAAATGCAAATCTAAGCAAAGGAATCAGATTTTTCTGTGTCATTTTCAACCTTGCAGTTAATATTGGACAGCAGTATTGACTGGATCAAAAGTCTGTGTTTTCATCACTGGCTACACATGACTAAGCACGATTTTTGGCTGCATTTCCACAAATACCGGAAAATATAACTGACTGTGGTACAGATCTGGCTTTCTATATTCTGACAAATATGAGATATTCTGCATAATGTCTGATGTAAATGTAAGTTAAATCTGATCTCTTCGTGGTTGGACCATCAAATGTGGACATTGCAAAGAAGAACATGTTCTGTTCTTATGCAACTGTGACCTTTTGATCAAAAAGTCTGTCAGGGAACTCCCTCCCTTATCTCTGTGATAGGTTGGCTCAAACCCTGTCTGTTGGTCAGTGACCCCTCTGCCCTGCTTGGCTGTTCCCACCAGTCAGCTTAGTATAAAGACACACAGAGGGTCTAAAGTCTCTCAGACAGACTGACGTACAGCTCTCAGTTGTCTGCACTGCTTGTCTTCATCATTATCATCCTCTGGATCGCTCAACAGAATTAAAGACTCATCGTCCTCCTTGGGCAGGTCATCAGTGGTAGTTCCAGCGCTATATCTTCAAAATGCAGCGACTGGGATTAAGGGGAGTGTTGCTGCTGTGTTGTGCAGCAGTATGTGCGTCTGGGATGAGGAGAGAGTACTTCCTCAGGATAGAGGAAGTGTCTTGGAATTACGCCCCAAGTGGGATGAACATCATTCAAAACCGCACACTGCAAGAGGATGAGTGAGTACATACTTAGTACATTGTTTTGATTATGTTGGAGTCAGTCCAGTCAGCCTTTCGAAAGATGGTCCAAAATACAGCAGCAAGACTCCTCATTCGTACCAAGAAAAGAAAAAAAACTGTACTGTATAAATTGATATATTCCTTTATTCATATACATGCAGAATTCAGCAGGTACAAAAACTGGCCAAATACTGGTTACAAAGCAAAACACAACACAATATTGTGTTTTTGACAAATACAAAATCATAATTATAATTAATCGCAGTAATAAATTGTCTACCACAAGTAATACATTTATCTAAATAATCTAGGAAGACCGTTTGTGGTTAAAATCATGTCCGATCATAAGCAGTGTTTGTGGGTAAAAAAGGTCTATTGTACATGCTGACTCACTGTCATACTGTCACGACTTACTGGGAAACTTGATTAGATCAGAGCCATCGTTAATGTTATGAGTTACACCTCTGCTCTCCCTAAAATCACAAATCAAAATGTCTGATGTGAAAAGGCCCTACTATTTTTAGCTACTGAAAGTTTTTTCAGTAGCTTTAGCCAATCACAGGTTTTTGTAATATTTTAACTGCAACCCATAATAATCCTCGTTCTCTCTCTCTCTGTAGAGAAGCCTCCGTCTTTTTAAAGAAAGGCCCCCAGCGCATTGGCTCCATCTACAAGAAGGCTACGTATAAGCAGTACAGCGACGCCACCTACATGACAGAGGTGGTGAAGGCGGAGTGGCTGGGCTACCTGGGACCCCTGTTGATGGCCGAGGAGGGAGACACAGTGATCGTCCACCTGAAGAACACGGCAAACAGACCTTACAGCATCCACTCGCATGGACTGAACTACAGCAAGGGCAATGAGGGTGAGGCATTAATGAATTGATGGGCAGGCTTAACAGGCTGATATATGTGTGACTTTGTGTGCTTGTATCTGTCTCTTCAGGAGCCCTTTACCCAGACGGTACCGGTCCAGAGCTGAAGCGTGACGACTCAGTGGCTCCTGGTACAACAGTAACATTTGAGTGGACCCTCCCAGAGAGCCACAGCCCAACATTAGAGGACAGCAACTGCCTGACCAGATTCTACCACTCCCACATTAACACACCAAAAGACATCAACTCAGGACTGATGGGACCCCTCATTATCTGTAAGAGAGGTACTGGAACCTTTTTAAACTTATAGTGTCTGGTGATGGAACTTAAGTACATTTATTTAAGTGCTGTAATATTTTCAGGTACTTCTGCTTTAGTTTTCATTTTCTGCTACTATATCGGCTAATTCCACTCCATTACATTTCAGAGGGAAATGTACTTTCTGTACTTTCTGTTGTATATTCTGAAGGGGAAACCTACTTTAAGGCCCAAACAACTTTTTCCTCATTTAACTTCTTACTATCAACTTTTGAGCTAATCGTTTCACCACAAATTAAACTATCAAAAATATTGCTGGATTCTTGTCAAATCTGTGAGATCAGCTGTGGCAATACCAAAAAACAGCATCCAAAATAGTAAGAAGTTAATTGAGAAAATAGTTTTGTAGGGGCACTACTTACTGTAGGTTTCCCCTTCAGTACATTAATGCATGTTATCCTAAAATGTCCTCTCTCCACTCCTCTGTAGGAACTCTGGACCTACATGGAGACAGCTCAGGAGACTATCTGTATGCTCTGCTCTTCATGGTGTCAGATGAGAACTTCAGCTGGTACCTGGACGACAACATCAGGACGCACATTACAAATCCTGCCAGTGGCCTGAAGGAGGATGAAGATTTCATTGAGAGCAACAAAATGCACGGTGAGTGGTAGTATCCAGGTACACATACGCATACGCATACCCATATACATACACATACAAATACCTTTAACTCTGATTTAATTGCAGGTATAAATGGTTTTCTGTATGGTAACCTGCCTGGACTGAGCATGTGCCAAGGCAACAAGATCCACTGGCATATGATTGGCTTAGGCAATGAGGTAAATATTGTATTTTTAATATCATCATCATTATTATTATTGTTGTTAATAGTTGTGTTATTATTACTATTACTATTATTAATGGTATTGTTATTATTATTATTATTACTACCACTAATCAGAATATTGTTCTGGTTGCATGTGTCATATTTTTAAAAAAAAAGTCTTAATTGAGGCACATAACCAACCAAAGTTCAAAATATGCAACTAGCCCTTTAATCCTTTAATTTTTCATTATCATATTTTCCACGAAGATCATGCGATCGGTCGCGTGTGTGTGCGCATGTGTGTACACCCTTAAGTGAGTGAGTGAGTGAATGAGTGTGCACCTCTGTGTCTCCCCTCGGCTAATCTCGCATTCTGCTGCAGCAAACATAATAATATTTTTGGGTGCCCATGGCTGCATGCTCAAGAGCCTCTCGTGGTTGCGATGACTCACACTGTCTCCAAACAACTTTCACAACGATTTTATACTGCCATTGGCTGCCTGCTGGCTCGTCACTCACTGCTCTCAACCATTTTGGGGTGTTTTCATTCAATCACACAATACAGCAGTGGTCGCAGCAGACCCACCTTGCAGAGATCTGCTTTCTACTGAGTGAACCTTTTGTAGCTATTGTCTGATTTGTCTTTTTGAGCACATTTAGAAGAAGCTAAGTGTATTTGGAAAGCTTTCTCAGTCTGAGTGGGCCTATATTGACAATATGTTAACGTATACTAACAATACCAAGTACCTGTAATAGGACTCACATTTATTGCCAAATTGAGTCCATGCAGTTCTAGTTCTCATTTTGTTGCTGAAAGTCTGAACAGTAACTGTCACATTTACAATTGCATCTGGCCTCTGTTGACAGTTTGTTGAAAAAACTAAATTTGTGAACATGTGTTACTTTTTGCAGGGCTGCTAAACTGGACTCACAATAGCCCACATCATGTGTTGGTGTTAGCAGCAATCACCTGGTCTTAACCCAGTTTAAATGTATTTTATCTGCAACAGGTGGACATGCATTCAGTTCATTTCCATGGCCAGATCCTGACCACTCAGACCCACCACACAGACACAATCAGTCTTTTCCCCGGCTCCAGCTCTACAGCTGAAATGGTAGCTGACAACCCTGGACACTGGCTGCTGACGTGCACTGTCAATGACCATTTGATGGGTGAGCAGACTTCCTTAATTCTTAATTTGATTCAAGCAAGTCATTTTGTCACCCAGTTGGATAATTAATGAATTTGTTTAGTATTTGTTTGTGAGTTTTTGTTTTGTGGTTTTGTCCAGCTGGAATGCAGGCTCTGTTTGAGATCAAGAAGTGTTTCCCCAACGTCCACAAGCCCCGGCCACACGGTGAGCTCAGACCGTTCTTCATTGCTGCTGAAGAGGAAGTCTGGGACTACGCTCCTACACCACCTACTGATGGGTTGGTTACTGTACACACACACACACACACGCACACACACACACACACACAC